CATCCCATTTATGCCCTATAGGGGCTAACAAAAGTAGTATAAGAGAAGGACGGATATCAGGATCCGGCTAGGGTTAGAGTAACCCAAAATGATAGATGGATTGTTTGCATTAGTTTACCTTTCCGAAGGATGTTGCAAATGTGCTAAAAGATCTTCTTGTGAGACACCCAGATGGTGCACTCTAAAATAGTACAGCTAAATATGAGTACAACAAAGATAGGTACTGGAAGCCTAGAAGGGATAAATATTATCTTATTATGTGGCTCCCGTCCCTAGTAGAGAGAGAATGTTAGGCAACCCAAAGAGCTAGTGAATGGAGCAAGGGGAGCTAAAAGCAAGAGAATGTCTTGTTGAAGTTTTCAGAATAAAATGATAGACAGAGATATCGGCAGGGAAATAAAAAGAGAGTTAATGAAGCATTATAAGTAAGATGTGATATATGGATGACAATAGTAGATCAAAAGATGACAGTATTACAGAGTCTATATAGTCAAGTGAAGGAAAAGACGAGAGGTGGCAGGCCTTGAGACAACAAAAGAGTATAGCATAAAGTCATATCCTCATTTCGAGAAATAAGTTTGTGACTCCAACGCGACTACCAGAAGGAAAAGTTAGACCCCAGAGTAATAAAAATCAATATGGGCTGGTGAACAAGATAAACTAAACATGAATTGGGCACTGAATGATTTGATAATGGTCGACATCATGAGAATTTCAGATTGCGTTCTAATAGAATGGACAACAGAAGAAGATTCATGAGAAATTCAGAGAATGGTCATTCAGGAAGACGCCTCCCTAAAGCAAGCACTGTGAGCAAAGTTAAGCTTAAGGGACTGTATGTGCCAGTTGCACTAAGTGTCACCATCGCGAGTAAGGAATTTTGTTATCCTTGGTATAGAAGGATTACTGCAAGGCGAGTAAGGGTCATCGATGATGTGATAGGACACCAAAGATGAAGAGGTAAAACATCTATAGGTAGGTCGTCATAGCTCCAACTCTTAGTACTCCCCTAAAGGGGGGAATATGGAGTGATGTGGTATTAAGTCAGAATTAAGTGGTTCTAGTAATTATGGAATGGTAAGGGAAGAATGCGATAAAAAAATGAAAAAGGGATGAGATTGCACTTATTCAAAGCCTACATATATGCTACGATTCCAGAATATTATGCAAACACGACGTCAAGGAAAGGAAGTAAGGGTTCCTACCCGAGATGTTATTGATAGATAAGGAGCCAGTGCGAGACGTAAGTTAAGACCAAGGAAATATCCCAAGATAAATTACGCAAAATATTGATATGAGAATGGGCCAACAAGTAGTTAGTAATTAAATCAGGAAGAGCCTAGTTATGGCTAAACAGGAGGTTACAGATGAGTCAGCATATCGTGCTAGATAAACATAGTGAAACCCAATATAGTGAATTCAGCCTCGCAGTAATGTCATTGTAATACTTGAGAAATATTCAGATAGGAGTTGGGGTACTTAAAGGTATCGTATGAGTATTACGGGAATAAAAGAGAGTGCCACTGGGAAGACAGTCAAAATATCAGTTCAGAAGCAACCCTACAAGCACAAGGGCATGGAAGTAAGTAACTACAGATAATTATAGGCGAGGAAGAACATCAAAACTTCCGTCAAGTATACGATGTAATAAGCTCGCAGCTTCACAAAAGTCAGAGGGTCTTCCCTAAGTACTACAATGAAAGACTAGCTGAGGAAATAAGGAAGAAGGCTTTAACCTAAGCACAATAACCTAAAGAGGAAATGGTCATGTAAAACCAGTCTCACTATAACATTGTATGCACTCTATAAGAAAGTGGCACCTACCGTGGCTAATGAACGGGAAGTAAAAGCAACAGTAATACTCGAGATCAAATGAGTTGCACATGGGAACTAAGATAAACTAAGTATGTACGCAACAAGGGGGCAGAAAGTGATAACAACAATATCAGGAATCCAAACTAGAGTAAGAATTTGAGAAGTAAATGCGAAAGCAATAACAATAAGGAATTGAACAACTAAAACTAAAGGGAAGAAAATAAAGGATATGGGAAAATTCAAGGAAATAATTCCAAGAACTTCCAAGAACGCAAGTTCTATAGCCTTGACAAGATCAAAGCAACAACGTCTTGATTTATTGAAGAAATCAAATGCCTTTACTTAAAAGCAAATCAAAATAATAGATTCGGATCTAGACCGCTCTACGAGTAACTTGAGACAACAATTAATAACTAGTATTAATCGACTTCTAAGAATACCACAAAGGAATCTAAGATATCACAATAGAGAAGTAATCTTACTACCTTGAACTATGAACTGGTAAAGGTTGAAAGATAAATCTCAAATCATAAGTAACAAAGATTCAAAAGAACTCTCAAAGTATGATTTACTTAATCAATAATGAAGTGTCTCAATGAATGAGGAGCTCCTTATTTATAGGAGTATTAAGGCATAAAAGGCCCTTCAAATTAGGTAGGGTGGTTGCTAAGGCATAAAAAGTCATTACAATTAGGTAGGATGGCTGCTAAGGAGTAAGAAAAGTCATTACAATTAGATGGGGGGGCGGCCAAATCTCTTTGGGGCAGATTTGGACCTTAAAACTACTAGTTTGGGCCATTGGTTTGAACTCCAATTGGGCTCCTTTTGAAACACCCCCTTTTGGACCTCTTTTAAGCTCATTTTGAGCCTTTTTGGTGGACTTCAAGGGCTGATTTGGTGGCCCAATCTTCCTCCTCTTGGACTTCAATTTGGATCACCAAATAATTGTAAAACTTGGATAATTCATCTACTTTGGGCTTGAGCTCTTCCTCTACAATTAAAAGCTTCTTTATTTGCCATTGAAGTCCAGCAACCTTAGTCTGCAACTCTTTAGCTTGAGATCTTGTAAATGGCCTTGGAGCTTCCAAAACTCTATCTTTGTCCTTGATGCTATCATTCCCCTCTTCTTGAAAAGAATTCGTCCCCGAATTCGATCCTACATCAAACAAAGACAAGTCAGCAACATTGAATGTAGCACTTACTTGAAACTCACTAGGAAGTTCTAGCTTGTAAGCATTGTCTCCAATCTTTTCAAGGACTTGAAATGGGCCATCTCCTCTAGATGCAACTTTGACTTCCTTTTGGATGGAAATCTCTCCTTTCTAAAGTGAACCCAAACTAAATCCCCAGGTTTAAAAATAACTTGTTTTTGACCCTTATTCTTTCTCAAGGCAGTTTGCTCATTTTGCTTCTCAAGTGCAAGCCTTGTTTGTTCATGAATATTTTTCATCATCTCAGCCTTTGTCCTACCATCAAGATTAACAATATCATTAAAAGGTAATGGTAATAAATCAAGGGGAGTGCAGGGATTAAAACCATAAACAACCTCAAAAGGATATATACCTGTAGAAGAATGGATTGTTCTATTGTAAGCAAATTCAATCATAGGTAAGTGAGCTTCCCAAGAAGTTAATTTACCTTTCAAAATAGCCCTCAACATGTTTCCTAAGGTTCTATTAACTACTTCAGTTTGTCCATTAGTTTGTGGGTGACAAGAAGTAGAAAACAACAATCTAATACCTAACTTCCCCCAAAATACACGCCAAAAGTGGCTCAAAAACTTAGCATCCATATCACTAATAATAGTTCTAGGTATAGCATGCAAAGAAAACTTCTTTTACAAAAAGATCAACAACATGTGAAGCATCATTAATCTTTAAACAAGGAATAAAATGAGCCATTTTGGAAAACCTATCTACCACAACATATATACTATCCTTACTATACCTTGTTCTAGGCAAACCTAATACAAAATCCATAGAAATATCAATCCAAGGTGAAGTAGGAACAGGTAATGGCATGTAAAGACCATGTGGTGACACTTTAGATTTAGCTTGTTTACATTCCAAACACTGTGCACACATTCTTTCAACATCTTTTCTCATTCGAGGCCAAACAAAATTCTCAACAAGTATGTCTAGTATTTTTGGGACTCCAAAGTGACCCATAAGCCCTCCATAATGTGCTTCCCTTACAAATACTTTACGTAAAGAGCAATTAGGGATACACAACTTATTTTCCTTAAAGAGAAACCCATCTTGGAGGTTAAACCTCTAAAAAGGACCCAACTTACAATCTGCAAAAATCTTACCAAAATCAACATCATTAGCATAAAGTCCCTTGATTTGATCAAAACCCATCAATTTAGAAGTCAGGGTAGAAACTAAGACATACCTTCTTGAAAGTGCATCCGCAACAACATTCTCTTTCCCTTGTTTGTAAGAAATTACATAAGGAAAAGTTTCAATGAATTCAACCCACTTAGCATGCCTTCTACTAAGCTTACCTTGACTCTTCAAGTATTTCAAGGATTCATGGTCAGTTTTAATGACAAACTCTCTTGGCCACAAGTAATGTTGCCATGTGGCTAAAGCCCTTACCAAAGCATATAGCTCTTTGTCATAAGTGGAATAGTTCAATGTGGCTCCACTCAACTTCTCACTAAAGTAGGCAATAGGTTTAGAATCTTGCATCAAAACAGCACCTATTCCTTTGCCAGAAGCATCACATTCAATTTCAAAATATTTAGAAAAATCAGGCAATTGTAACAATGGAGCAGAACATAACTTTTCTTTCAACAAGTTAAAAGCATCATCTTGTTATTTTTCCCATGTAAAAATCTTATCCTTTTTAATAACTTCAGTTAAAGGAGAAGCAATGTTGCTAAAGTCTCTCACAAACCTCCTATAAAAACTAGCAAGTTCATGAAAACTCCTAACTTCAGTTACACTCTTAGGTTTTGGCCATTCTTTTATTGCTTTAATTTTCTCTTCATCAACCTCAACTCCTTTAGAACTAACCACAAAACCCAAGAAAATCACACGATCCACACAAAAAGTACACTTTTTAAGATTAGCAAATAAGAGTTGCTTTCTAAGAACTTCAAAAACTTGTTTTAGGTGTTCTACATGCTCTTCTAAAGTGTTAGAAAAGATCAAGATATCATCGAAGTACACCACAATAAATTATCCATGAAAATTCTTAAAGATATGATTCATTAATCTCATGAAAGTGCTAGGTGCATTAGTCAAGCCAAAAGGCATAACTAACCACTCATAAAGCCCATATTTGGTCTTAAAATCAGTTTTCCATTCATCTCCATGATTCATTCGAATCTGATGGTAACCACTTTTTAGATCAATTTTAGAAAAGATTTTGGATCCATGTAATTTATCTAACATGTCATCAAGACTAGGAATAGGATGGCGATACTTTACCGTTATCTTGTTGATTGCTCTACAATCCACACACATCCTCCAAGTTCCATCCTTTTTGGGTACAAATAGGACGGGAACAGAGCAAGGGCTCATGCTCTCTATCACAAAGCCTTTCTCAAGCAGCTCCTCAACTTGCCTTTGAAGCTCTTTTGTCTCTTCTGGATTACTCCTATAAGCAGGCCTATTTGTGATTTGTGATCCAGGCACAAAATCATTTTGATGCTCAATGCCACGTAAAGGTGGCAATACATTAGGAATATCTTCTGGAAAGACATCTTCAAAATCCTGCAGAAGAGAAGAAATACTACTTGGAAAAGAAGAAGTTAGTAACTCAGAATTAATCAAAGCTTCTTTGTAAGTAAGTAGTATTATTGGCAACCCCTCTTTTCTTGCATTTAACCACTCTTTGGCTTTTATATAAAAACTCTCTTTTTTTATTTCCTTAGCCTCTTTCCTCTCACCAAGACTTTCTATATTTTTATCCAAGCCCCTTTTAATCTCTTCTCTCAAATTGTTGACATCTCTCTCTTTCTCTCGGCCATCTCTCTTTTTTTTCTAACCCTTGGCCTCCTTTCTTTTCTTTTTCCTCAAGCTTACCTTTTATCCCTCCCCTTGGTTTTCTCATTGTTTCCCTTAATCTCTTTTGATCTTCAAACACTTGAGAAGGAGATAAAGGTGCAAGAG